ACAAGTTGCTGTCCTTTGGCTCTTCAGTCTAGTTGTGGAGGACATCGCTTCACTTGCCCATGTTGGTATTACCATTATGCTCTTCCTGGCTGAGGCAGTAGATCGCAGGCCATTGGACAGCCACTCACGGTGGCTCACTGCAGCTCACGAAAGCTCATGCCCACTGCCCGCCAGCCCCTCTGCAGCCTACACTGCCACAGGTGACTCACGGCAGCCCAGCTCCAGGTCGAGCTGTTGTTCACCATCTTATCTGTAGAGGGCGCAGCATCACTGGCCCTCATGTGGGATCCAAACTGGGGCACTGCTGCTCAGAGCTGGCGTCCCAAGCCAACTCCTAACCAATGTGCCACTCGGCCGGTAGCCCTGTACCTAATTTTATAATAATAATTTTATATTCCTTTTCTAAGGGGCCCTAATTGGGCCCCTCAATTTTATAAGCTTCAGGACCCAGAAATATTTGCTTTTTGACAAGATTATTTATGTTTTCCCTGAAGTTCTAATCTCTATTGCAATTTTTTTTTCTTCTTACTCAAATACATTCCTTTGAAATTGCCCAGTGTGAACTGTTCTGTTCACTCATGACAACTCTTCCAGGTGATATTTCAGTCTGGTTAGGAAATTTATTAAGTGCTCTTTCATGGCTTATTGTGCAATGTCAATCATTATTTTTTCACTAAGCAGTTTAGATATATACGTTGGTCATGCATAACATTAATTCATGAAGAAATGACCTGAGTTTGTTGATACATTGTTGACAACTGGCTTTAGTACAATAAATTCTCAGTTTTGTAATCACAAAAGTAGGGGTAGAATAAGAACAATATGTATTGACAAGTTCAACACACTTGTGAAAAGAGAGGCGCCAAAAATACAAACATGCTCTCAATGCTAAGGAAAAACCACAGCCCTCAACTTCTCTTTAAAATTGTTTTCCTGGCTTCAGAGTTGAGCATAATCGAGTCCTAACATATTTCCAACCCATACTTCCCTTCACATTTTCTTCAAATGTGGGATTGGGGTTTCATTGGATCCTAAGGGCTTTAGGGGGCTAGGGAATGAAAAGATTGCAATGGTTTAGGATTTTTACCTAGTCAAAGTTCCCACATCTAGGTCATGACTTGAAATTTCAACTGGAATAATGTTGTGAAAGCTTTTTGTCAATCATAAGTGTTGTATATGTGTTACTTTTTTGACGTTACTGTTGTCATTATGATGGAGGTAACTTTTCATCTCCATTAAGGACAAATAAAAAATAATTGCTTAATTTGTATCAGAAGAGATTTAGCTCTTAAAGGGAGAAAATCCTGACTGAAACAAAGTTATAAGGGGTTTAACATTAAAGATGATTTGCTAAGCTTTGGCAGTGAAGGTTATTGTAGGTGGGAAGAGGGGGTAAAGACTGGAAATATTGTATCTATTTAATAATTTGGCCCCTTTTCATCTCTTTAAGACTAATTCCATTAAGCCAAAAATTAAATAATGTTGATTATGGCTACACAAATGTACTTTTGCATGTATAAATGTAAGTCAACACCAGTAGTACACGGATGACTTGCAATGAAGGAAAGATTCATTCTAAGGAAAAAGCAAATTATTAAGAGGAACCTAAAAGTAGTCATACTTTCTACACTTGAGAGGAAATAACTACCTAGTAATTAAATAAAATTGATTAAAATATTCATTTACAAACACATATAGAGACAATGGCTTTTAAATGTGCTATTAGAGTGAGAACAAAATATGTTTGCAGCTCTGATTCTACCATATTCACTTACTATTAAATATTTCATTAATATGATCTCTTGAAAGAAACAATCATGTTAGCTTAAAAACTTCACAATGAATGAGAAATTGTGATTAATTAAAGGTATAATTCGGGCTGGCCGAGTGTCGCGATGGTTAAGAACTGGCTTGGGACGCCAGAGGGCCCTGGTTCGGATCCCACATATGAGGGCCAGTGACACTGCCCTCCACAGCTAAGATGCT